ATATATTTATCCACAATTATTGGATAAATATATAAAGATAAACAGCTCGAGGGGGATCTTTTCCTCCCCCAGGTGCCAGATCCAAGTTTGTGCTGCTGTTGGGGGCAGCACAAAGTGAAATGCAGGTTGAAATGTTGGTTTAAACGTGGTGCAGCCTCGTGGTGGGTGCCAAGAGCTGCCCTTTCCCTGCAGGGTTTTGCTCTGGGCAGGGCACTCGAGGTTTTTGTGTCTCCATCACTTCCCACAGCTGTGGTAACTCACAGTGGTGAAGAACATTGACTGTAGATGGTCTTCTTTGCAGCAGAGGTGCAGGTAAAATAACAAATAACAGAGCTGCTCCCAAACTGTTCTCATCTGCAGCCTTAGGCTCTAAAACAAAAACCTCTTTAAAAGCCAAGGGATCAAAGTTTTTCTTGCTGACATTTTTATCTCACCTCATTTGGGTTTCTCCTCAGGATCTCCCCTGGAAGGAAGAGTTGCCTCCAGCAGGCATGGAGCTGGTGACAGACCTGCCCCTGCTGATGCTCAGGTGGCAGAAGGTGCCAGTGCTGGGGTGGAAGGTGCCCAGGACAGAGACTCTGCTGCCCCCAGCCCCAGATGGACCCAGCTGCCAAAAGCTGCTCTGAAACTACCTCAAGAAACCAAAGACACTGTGGGGAGTGAGGGACTGACCCAGCAGCCTGGAGGGGATGGGGATGGTTCCCTGGGGCCAGGCAGGGATCTGCTGCTGCCTCCTCCCTCTGCTGCAGCCACGGGGCCACCAGGACCTCAGTCCTGCTGCTGCCAGAGCCCAGGGCAGAGCCAGGGGCCAGAGAGCCTCAGGGGGCCTGGCCCTGCCTCACAAGGGGAAGGACTTGAGGGGCCAGCTGTGCCCGTGGAGGGCAGAGCTGAAGCCAGGCAGGGCTGGGTGCCGGCGGGTGGCAAAGCTGGTCGGCGCGGCGTGGGGGCAGCTGGCACAGCCTGCCCTGGGGACGTTCCCCCCGAGGGCAGAACGGAGGGGAGGGCAAACAGCTGCCTCCAGGGGCATCAGCATCCCCAGCAGCCGGAGCCCAGGGCGGTGCCAGCCCTGGAGGAGCAGCAGCAGAAGGTCACCGAGGCCACCGTGTGTGCCAAGAACAGCAAGGTCAGCTCCACCGGGGAGAAGGTCGTGCTCTGGACCAGGTACTGCTGCCTGCCCTGCCCTTCCTGCCTTCAGCTCTCACACTGCAGAGGATCCTTTCTTTTCCTGTTGTATTCCCATTTTCTGGCTGTGTCCTGCCCCCTCTTGTTCAGTGTTCCTGCCTCGTTTCCTCCGACCACAGTCCAGCAGAGCTCGGTCCTCCCCTGTTACTGGAGCACTTCAGCCTGGGAAAGGATCTTTTTTCTCCTTCAAAAAACAACTTAAAACAGCTGAAAACACAAAAAAACCCTAAAGGCAGCTCTGCTTAGAGATGGGTCCTGTGAGGGGAGGTGGCAGGAGGGGTGAAGGGATCCCTCACCCAGGGATTGTTCTCCTGAACCGGGAACAGGCTTCGTGTGGGGAAGGGGGAGCTGGAATTCCATCGCTGGTTTTTTGGGCTGTTTTACAGCTGCTTGTTTTGCAGGGAGGCTGACAGGGTCATCCTCACCACCTGCCAGGAGAAAGGAGCCCACCTGGACACCTTCCATGCCATCTCCCAGAAACTGGGCAACAAGACGGCGAGTGAGGTGAGGGCTTGGCTGGGAGAGCTCCCAGGGGATGGGGAGGGGGCTGGAAAGGCATGAAAGGTGGGGGGAGGGTGCTGTTCATACAAAGCCTCCCTCCCAAACTTAAATTTGATGAAAAAAATCATCCCAACTGCAAATAAAAAAAAAAAAATCAAAACCAAAACAAACCCTGGAGCCAGAAATCCTGAGGTGTTTGAGCCTCCCGTTTGGGACCAGGGTTGTTTCAGTGGCTGCTGCTCAGGTCTTCAGCCTCCTCCTCCATAAAGAATCTGCCTGGTTTTGCCTCTGAACCTTCCCAAACTGCCAGATTTTACCTGCAAATCAGTAGAATGTAACTGTTCTTCCAGAGAGAACAACCACCTGCTGCTCTTGCATTTCTCTTTTCCTTTATGACCGAACCTCGCATGAAATGTCTCTGTGGTATTTTTATATATATATATTTTAAAACACTACAAAACACCCCGGGCTTTGAAACAGGGAATCCCAGTCCTGTGACACCTCTCAGGCCACTGCTCACGTTGGATTCCCCTCGTCCCTCAGGTGTCCCACAGGTTCAGGGAGCTGATGAGGCTCTTCCACACATCCTGCGACGGGAGCTCCGAGGATGAGGAGGATGCAACAAGTACCAGCAACACGGACCAGCTGTCAGATAAAGACCTCCTGCTCTCTGAGGAAGAACCTGATGACTGAGGTGATAAACTACTGACCTGCCCCAGAAGAAGTTTGTTTGGTTTTTTGCCAGTTTGCTGCTAGACAGGTGCTGTGGGAAAACGTTTGCACAGGTATTATGACAGCACCTTCCCGGGTTTTTGTTCACTTTCCTGCTCCACTTCTGATGAGCTGCACTGCCAGCCTGCACCAAACTGGAGGCACCAAGCCAGGTGTCGGGGTGAGAATGTTCTCCAGAACCTCCCTGGGGAGCTTCAGCAGAGAAACAGCAGAGCTGGGGCTCAGGGACACTCGCCTGGCCTGGGAGGGAAGGTTGGGCACAGCAGCTTTGGACCAGAACGTGTAAATATTGTACCCTAAGATGTCAGTTTTCTCGTGGAAAGAACACAGGACTTTTTCTAAGTTCTCCCCTTGTGTTGATTGTATGTGAGAAAGTTACAGTCTGAGCTCTCTTATTTATTGTGTGGGTTTATTTGAGTGGGGCAGAGCAAATCCACTTTGCACAGTTATAAAAAAACAAACAAACAACCCCAAACATACAAAAACAGCCCCCCCAAAAGCAGCTTTCCTCCTCTACAACACAGCTGTGAGTAGCTGGAGAATTTAAGCCAGCCTTTGTAAGGGGACTTTGGTGAAATGAGAAGGAAGCAGCAGCTGGAGCGTCCCCAAAGCCGTTCCCTTGATTCCCAAAGTGACCTTAAAGAGGCTCCCACTCCCTCTGTCCCCGGGAATAGAGGTGGGTTAGTCTGAATCCCCCTCCTCCTCGGAGCCATCCCCCCCAAAGCCCGTTTCATAGCACTGGGACAGAGTCCTCAGCTCCTCCAGGGCCTGCTGGAAGTCGTCCTGTTCCAGCCCGGCCGTGAAGAAGCTGCTCCAGCGCCGCACGTTCCGCGCCCGCAGGTCCCGCCA